GGCGTTATGCAAATCTTCCCACATAGTGAGGTAGATATGTGGGGGTTGTGTTAGAACGAGCCGTTTTAGGTAGGTGTGGCTGACTCTTAACTTTTATAAAGAATATCTCTTTGGATTTGAGACTTTAGTCTTTGCAACTTTACAGATCTTCTTTATGCACCAAGAGCTTGTAACACTCCAAAGAGAAAGGAAAAATTGAAATCGCATCATATGACCCCTTTAATATAAATATGTTAATATTAACTTTTCTAAATATTATCATTTCTATAATTATCTATGGTAACACTTTACAATGAGGTTTTCTTTGGAAACATCAGTTAACTATATAAGTTAACATGAACAATACTTATATAGCATGTATTAATCTTAGTTAATGTTAAGTTACTGTAAATCAGCAACTTCTAACGCTTTGCTGTGAGTGTACTTCATGAGCCTCGTCAGGTGACACTCTTCTCTAACATTAGCCGTCTTATGGGGGACTGTATTGATTTACTCACTCTCACACACACACACACACACACACACACACAGACAGAGAGAGAGGCTCCCACTGGTGTCTGGTATTCGTCTCTCAGTTTGCAGATAAACACATTTATATGGTCAGAACAGCATCAGGTTAACTGAGGACGACTGGAGTAATCGACGATGTAGCGATAAGAAATCAAAATAAAATCACTTTCTAAAAAATAAAAATATATAATCTTGCTTTGCACAACTATATATCATACATCAAATGTGTGCATATTTAAAATATGAAAGTATACTGTAATATATACTTATAGTTATATTTTAACATCTACTTAATATGATTAAGTATTCTGTAATAAAAATTATCCAGAAGTAATAATAATAATAGTGTTTATTACAAAATACTTAATAGTAATAATAACGTAGAATAATTATTTACATTAAATAATAATAATAACTATTATTATTAAAATAGTATATCTAAAATGCTTAATTATTATTATTATTATTATTATTAAGTAATTTGTAATAAATAATCTAGAAATACTTCTACAACTAGTAATAATAATTGTAGATTATTTATGTATTACAAAATGCTTTATAATAATAATAATAATAATAATAATAATAATAGCATTTTAAAATTCTGGTATCAGCAAATTATTATAAAATAATAAATAATTTGTTCCTGTCAGGCCACGGCGCAGATGGAGGGCAGGTTGTGTGATTTCATCCACTCATATTGTCCCGAGAGTGTTCTGCCGCTGGCCGACGGGGTCCTAAGCTTTATCCACCACCAGATCATCGAGCTGTCCAGAGACTGCCTGACCAAATCTAAGGAGGGGCTCATCACGTCCATCTACTTCTTTGAGCTGCAGGAGAACCTGGAGAAACTTCTGGATGACGTGAGTTCATCATCAAACCTGTGATCTCATTAAACCCGCCAAGAACGGTGCCTTTACTGTAATGTGAAGAAGTAAGGAAATATTACTTAGCTTGTTTTTCTCTGTCTTTGTGTCTCTCAGGCTTATAAGCGGTCGGAGAGTTCAGAGTTGACCTTTGTCACTGAGTTGGTGAAGAAACTCCTCTTCATCATCGCTCGACCTGCTCGACTTTTAGAGTGTTTGGTGAGAAAATGCTTTCTTTTGCTTGTTCTTTTATCCATTCATCAGATAACATGATGCTTCAAACCCCTCTGGACAACAACAACACAGGCCTGATGTTTTCAGGTTTTCACTCCTACTTCAGAAAAGTATTTTAAACAAGAATAGCTGCAAAACACACAAAAGGAGAGAGAGCGAGTTGAACCTGCTGCTGCATTAGCATTTAGATTGGGAGCTGTGAGCATGCTGCTGTTATCACTGACCTTCTGTGATTCACTGCCTGTAAAAAACTCATTTGGAAATGCTTCTGTGCAGCTCCAGGATTAAACCACATGAACCATTCATTATCCCTGTTAAACGGAGATGCTCCCAAAATGAGAGTGTGTTCATGTACTTCAGCAAATTACAAATGTTCAGTGTAATTCAACTTTATTTTTAGACTGTCACAGAAACTGAACCCTAGTGCTGATCCTCAACCAAACAATAATGCCGTCTGAACCCTGAACCCAACTGAACTTGTATTGCATTTATGACTTATTTCAGAGTGAAACAGCATGCAAAAAACTATTTCAAACACCTTAGCAACCTCATAGCAACATTCTAAAAACTAAACCAAACACCTCAGCAACCACATAGCAACACACTGAAATCTGTTCCAAACACCCCAGCAACCGCATAGCAACACGCTGAAAACGAATCTAAGCACCCCAGCAACCGCATAGCAACACTAACAGATGTTGCTCTGACACGTTTTCCAGGAGTTTAACCCTGAAGAGTTCTATCATCTGCTGGAGGCGGCTGAGGATCACGCTAAAGAAGGACACCTGATGAAGACCGACATCCCGCGGTACATCATCAGTCAGCTGGGTCTGACCAGAGACCCTCTGGAGGGTGAGACCTCAGTCACACAACAATCACACAGCACTGATCCCAGTACAGCTGATCACTGAGCGACTGTCACGTCTGTGTTTCAGAGATGGTCAGTCGAGAGCATTATGACAGCGAGGGGCCCGTCACACCGGAGACAGACGACTCCGCAGAGGTCTGAACACACTAACACACACACACAGACAGCCCCGGGAAATCTGAAAACGATTGTTTGTCAGTAAAGTGTCTGTTACAAGATGATGATAACATCTTGTGCAAGAGTTTGAGGGGATTTTTCTCTTTTCCAGGGAAAGATAAAACCCATGAAGCCACCTGGAGAGGCAGATTTCCAGACCATCAAACTGATCAGCAATGGAGCCTACGGGTAAACCAGCACACACACACACACACAGACACACACACACACACACACACACGTGCGCGTTTGTCTCAATATCTAAATGGGGATATAAGGTTTAAAAGAACAGCATTTATTTGTAACTGAACATTTTGTAACATAAGTATTGTCACTGTGGATACAAACGCATCTACTAAATAACCAAACACACACAGAGGAGTTGAGACACTGACAGAAGATACTGTGTGTTTCTCAGCGCGGTGTATCTGGTCCGCCATCTGGAGATGCGACAGCGCTTCGCTATGAAGAAAATCAACAAACAGAACCTGATTCTGAGGAACCAGATCCAGCAGGCGTTTGTGGAGCGAGACATCCTGACCTTCGCCGAGAACCCGTTCGTGGTCAGCATGTTCTGCTCCTTTGAGACCAGGCGACACCTGTGTATGGTCATGGAGTACGTGGAGGGTGAGACACGCACACACTTTTATTGCTCTTTTAAAGCTTTATTGACTGTATTGAGGTCTCAGGTATGTTTTGTTTAAGTACCAACTCTCAGATGTTTCTCTTAAAGTGCCTAAGAAATAAAACAGACCCAGATGAGTCACTCCAGTAAGAGTCTAGGGCTATAAAATGAATGTGGAAAGCAGCTCAAATCATTTGATGAGAAAAGATTGAGTTTGTGTTGGAGATCTTGAGCAAATCTGAGCACAGTTTGAGATCTCTTCTGAAACACCTGAGGAGGAGACGCGTGTGAGATTACTGGAGTCTTTTTCTCAGGAGAAACATCTGAGAAGCAGGAGGCTTCAGTGTTGTTGTCTAGTGAGAAACAACTGAGATGTTAACCAGATCTCATCTGTGTGTTTCGTTTCAGGAGGCGACTGCGCGACACTGCTAAAGAATATCGGAGCATTGCCTGTGGAAATGGCGCGCATGTACTTCGCTGAAACCGTCCTGGCTCTCGAATACATACATAACTATGGAATCGTGCACCGGGATCTCAAACCGGACAAGTAATACGCCAATAACAGTTAAAATAATTTTGAATTATATGTAATGACAATGGCAGGGAGCCTGTCATTTACTAAGTGACCGTGCACAGTCAATTAAATGATTGCTGGGATTCATTTGCCATCTGTTGGGCAATGACATACAGCATTTCCTGCGTGAGATTAATGAAATCGTTTAATTTGGACAGATTGTGTTATATAATTAAACACATGTCAGAAATGCCACTCAGTGTGTGTTACTGTAGAGACGGTCTCACATCATCTCCGTCTGTCTCTCTCTCTCTCTCTCTCGCCGTCAGTCTGCTTATCACGTCAATGGGTCACATTAAACTCACTGATTTCGGTTTGTCTAAAATGGGTCTCATGAGTCTCACCACAAACCTGTATGAGGGACACATCGAGAAGGACACCAGGGAGTTCCTGGATAAACAGGTACCAGAAAATACATACAATATTCTGTTCTGTACATAGTCATGGTCAAAAAGCCACAAAACTACAGTTTTAATTTCATTGTGTGCCTATTTAATTTAGTTATTTTTGATCATAAATATAATTTACACATTCAAGTTTATGATAAAATATCACCGATGAAGTGTTGATGAAGCCTGTAAGCAACACCTTCACGACATTCTAAATTGATTCCAACACCACCATACTGGAAAAAAAAAAATTCCAAACACCATAGCAACCACATAACAACACACTGAAAACAATTCCAAGCATCTCAGCAACGGCATAGCAACACGCTAAAACTAGCCAGAACACCTCAGCAACCGCATAGCAAAGCACCGGAAACTATTCACAACGTCTAGGACCTGCCCTGAAAACTAATCCAAACGCCTCAGCAACCACATAGCAACACTCTGAAAACTATTCCAAACACCTTAGCAACCGCATAGCAACAAGCTGAAAACTAATCCAAACGCCTCAGCAACCCCATAGCAACACGCTGAAAACTATTCCAAACACCTTAGCAACCGCATAGCAACAAGTTGAAAACTATTCCAAACACCTCAGCAACCGCATAGCAACACACTGAAAACTATTCCAAACACCTCAGCAACCGCATATCAAAGCACCGAAAACTATTCACAATGCCTATGAACCACACTGAAAACTATTCTGAACGCCTCAGCAACCACGTACCAACAGGCTGAAAGCTAGTCTAAACACCTTAGCAACCCCATAGCAACACACTGAAAACTATTTAGAACACCTTAGCAACCGCACAGCAACGCGTTTAAAACTATTCCAAACACCTCAGCAACCGCATAGAAACGTTCTTTGACCTTTGACCCCAGGTGTGCGGCACCCCAGAGTACATCGCCCCGGAGGTGATCCTGCGGCAGGGTTACGGCAAGCCGGTGGACTGGTGGGCCATGGGCATCATCCTCTACGAGTTCCTGGTGGGCTGCGTGCCGTTCTTCGGCGACACACCGGAGGAGCTGTTTGGTCAGGTGATCACAGGTAAAGACACACCTACATATATTCACACAGTGAAACAATCTCATGAATCTAAATAAAAAAGATGTACACAATGTAAAATGTGTGTGTGTGTGTGTGTGTGTGTGTGTAGATGACATTGTGTGGCCCGAGGATGATGACGCTCTCCCCGCTGACGCGCAACACCTGATCTCATCTCTCCTGCAGACCAACCCGCTGCTCAGACAGGGCACAGGTGACGTCACACACCTCCAGTCATGTGGCCCACTATCATTAAATGCACGCTGATGTGCTCTGACTGTTAGAGCTGTTGACTTGGATTAGAGCTGTATTATAACACTGATCATTTGACGATCAGTAATGATGATTAAAAAGAAGAATAGCTCAAATCTCAAGCCCTTAAACCTACTTTTTGAACGGCAGTCCATTCGTTGACAGTATAACAAGTGAAAAGGTCCCATGGACTTAACAACATGACAACAACATAGCCTCGCATCACCTTAGCAACCACTCAGAACCACCTGGCAACCACATAGTAGCACACTTAAAGTAAGTTATAACTGCCTAAACACTAAAACGCCTTAACAACAGTCTAGCAATCAGTTAGAGCACCTTATAAACTACCTAGCAAACACATAATAGCAAGTTTAACACCACTCCCTGAACCACATAACTGCATAGCATGTATTAAAACCACCATAGCAACATCATAGCAACCTCTTAGGAACCAACTAGCAAGTTTTAAAGAACCGCCAACAACCACATAACATGCACTAAAAATGTCCTTGCAACACCCTAGCAACCTATAACCTTATAAACAGTCTAGCAACCACATAGTAGCAAGTTTTACGCAACTCTGAACCACTTAACTGCATAGCATGCATTAAAAACACCCTAACCACTCAACAGTATAGCCACTCAAAACACCTTAGAAACCACCTAGCAACACAAAGTAGCAAGTACAACACCACTCAGAACCACCTAACTGCATAGCATGCATTAAAATGCCCTAGCAACCCATATCAAGTTTAAAATCCCTCAGAACCACCAACAACCACATAGCATGGGGAAAAACACCCTAGCAACCAACATAGAAACCACACAGAACACATTAGAAACCATGTATCAGCAAAACAGTAAAAAGTTTAAAACCACTCTGAATTACCTAACAGCCCCATATTATTCACTTAAAACACCCTAACACACCTACACCTAACAACGCCCTAGCAACCACTCAGACTATTCTAGCCTTTATATTCTAATGAAAAATCTAAACATCTGTTTTTACTATTATTAATAGTTCATTTGATTATTGATCATTGACTGTCTTTTATCATATTGCTGTTGTTGGTCAGTAGAGTCAGACGTTCTCCACGCACTGAATGAAGTCATGTGTTTGTGCGCAGGTGGAGCGTTCGAGGTGAAGCAGCATCCGTTCTTCTGTGATCTGGACTGGAGCAGCTTGCTCCGGCAGAAAGCCGAGTTCATCCCTCATCTGGAGTCGGAGGAGGACACCAGCTACTTCGACAGTGAGTGATGAACAGATGGATGGATAGTGTGTGTGTGTGTTTGTGCTGTTGTCTGATGGTGTGCATTAGTGAGTAACTCATCCGTCTGTCTCAGCACGATCAGAGCGATATCATCACGTTCACTCGTACGATGAAGACGACACCAATGACGACGAGCCAGTGGAGATTCACCGCTTCTCCTCCTGCTCGCCGCGTTTCAGCAAGGTGAGACCTAGATTCTGCTCTTTACACAACACCGAGGATTATGGGTAATGTAGCCCATAGACTCAAGGATTCATCTAGTGCATCTGAATCACAGGTGTACAGCAGCATGGAGCATCTGTCGCAGCTGGAGCACAAACCCGTGGTGACCCGCCGAGAGCCCAAAGCTCACAGAGAAGATCGCAGTAAGAGGGAAAGTCTGGGCAGCCTGACCCTCCGAGACAAGAGCTGGAGAACCGGATCCCCCGAGATGTAAGACAAGACAGTACAACGACCTCCCAGAATAGCCCAGCAACACTCTAGTAACCACTCAGAACACCTTAGAAACCACCTAGCAACCACCAGAGCTGGGTAGTAACTGATTACGTGTAATTTGGATTACATTATCAGATTCCAAAAATGAAGTACTTGTAATCAGATTAAATTACATTTTAAATTGCTTGTAATCAGACTACAGTTACTTGATTACATGATTACATATTATTCACACAATAGCAATACATTATTCCAGTCACTAGTCAGGGGGTGACATGGCATTTTAACACTGGATTCATTTCAAGTTTTAAGTGCTTCAGCATTGCACTAACTACTGATGAACACATTAATTTTTTATTTGAATTATCACTCAGTAGGTTATTTAACCATGTATATAGTTTTGGAAGGCTTTTGTCTTTCAAAATGCACAAATTCACATTATTTCTTATTTGCATGTAGTGCAGTATATTAATACAAGTATATTAAAATAAATGTTAATAATTAAGTATCACATTTGCATGTTCATGGTTCTCTGATGTTGGTTAATGGTCACATGACATGCATGTAAACAAATAAAATATTTCCTTTTTAGTAAGTGTTTTATTTTGATTGATGTTATTTTAAAATGGCTTTTTTTTATTTTTTATTTAATTAATTATTAGCTTTTTCATTAAACTCACAAACCCCCTGCAGTTCATTTACGAACCCCAATTTGGGAAACCTTCATGTAATGGAATGTATAACATACTTCATGTTGTTAAAGGGGTAATATGATGCGATTTCAAGTTTTTCTTTCTCTTTGGAGTGTTACAAGCTCTTGGTGCATAAAGAAGATCTGTAATGTTGCAAAGACTAAAGTCTCAAATCCAAAGACATATTTTTTATAAAAGTTAAGAGTCAGCCACGCCTAAAACGGCTCGTTCTAACACGCCCCCACATGTCTACTTCACT